AGTATAGATATATATATATATAAGTTTTGACTATGAATTTTTGCTACATTTGTACACTCATTTATTTCATATAGATTTAGGAATGCTATATAGAGCATTTTAGGATAGATTTTTTTTTTTCATGTTTTGATTTGAATTAACATATGTTTGATATCTAAAATGTTGCTTATTTTTATTTCTATTGAATATTCAATAAGAAGAATGATGTGATGATGGTTGTGGTGATAGATGGTGGAGAGGAAGCGACTGGGCGTTGACATTGCTATGGTAGTGGAGGCGATGGTTGCCAATGATGGTAGTTGAAGGCTAACTGTGGTCACTGTTGATGGTGACAACGATGATGGATGGAGCAGTCAACAGTGTGGAGATATTAGTGACTTGCAATAGTGTTTTGTTTTATAAGAAATCAAGATAATAATTTATCTGCTTCTAAAAGCACTTGATTTATTGCTTTGTTTGATGCCCTCCTACAATAATTAGTTTTCTTGACTTGAATTATGAAACATACTTTAAATTACATGTGAAAGGATCCCTATTTTAGATTCAAAAACCTTAGTAATGTACTGTTTAAATTTCAAATATGAGAGATATTTAGCTCAATAATAACTTTTTTGAATTCAAATTTAGTCAGTTCTACTCAAATTTCATTTAGGAGTGTGAATCAAAGTAGAACTAAAGTTTAATATGAAAAATAAACTAATGGCCATCTGTCTTGAATTCAAAAATTTATATCTATGAAGATGAATGAGTCTCCATCATTTAATTTTTCTAACAATATATTTTTTTAACTATTTCATATGAGTCTAAATCTAAAATATAATGTGTATGAATAACTATTTTTGAATTATATGCATTTAATTGCCCGAATAAAGTTGCTTGATTGTTTAATTCAATAGTTCTGCTAAATCCCTGAGTGTTTCATGTTTTTATAATACTCATTTTAAAGGAGGAATGTTCTAAAAACTTAAAAATACATTTTATAAGATCTAAATTAAAACCACTTAAAAGAGGCAAACCCGTTAAATTTAAAATGAGAAAATGATTGAGTTGGTCTCTAGATTGTTTGGCAAATATTCAATTTGATTATAATGTTTTTTGTCCTTTAATTTATTCTCTTAATCTTAACTTAAATCATTTTTTAAAATACTTTTACTTTCACCATGGTAATGCTAATTCCCTTATCAATTTACTCATAACGGAGCTAAATAATAAAAAAAAAATAAAGAAAAAAAACATATTTTACATGAAAACACATTAATCATATCCAAAATTTCTTTAATAATTATTAGTTGATAAAGCTGCATTGTTATTGTCACATGACATCTACTATAGCCCATCACTAAGGAATGTTATCAACTAACATAAAAACATTTTTCATGACATTGATCTCTGTATAACACTTAATATTGTTTAAAACTAATAGTCATTGTTATCTTTCATCCAATGCACATCAGTGAAAATTACAAACATTTAACATTTTCTAACTTCAGACACCCACCACATATCACTAACTATGAACCCAGACATGGTCCATTATCACTATAGATACCAATATGTTGTTTAAATCCATACATCATAATCTAATATTGATCTTAAATCAAGGGCAAGGTCAATTTTTGTAATTCATGGCATATATTAGTAAAGGTGTTTCCAATCAAGCTTAGCCTTCTTTATTTGGAAAAGTTACAAATGTCGTACACCATTCTTATGTATATACATGCCTCAGACCTAAACTTTCATGTTGACATACATAGCACTTTGGAGCTATAAAACTATGAATGAAAAGATGTATTTCACTTTGAAAAGGTCATAATAGTGTTATTTTTATGTGATATAAAAGATTTTGAGTGATGTGTGTAAATATAAATTTTTGGGCGTGAGATATGGAAATACATAATACTTGTGTGCTATCAATGTAAAGGCCATTTTCTATTTTCATTCAAAATAAATCTACTTCCACCTCCTACCAATAGTCACATCTGATACACTTGTAGTCAACTCTAGTGTTAAGGTTAAGAATAAGTTTCTCATAAAAGAACGATTCCAAAGCAACCCTCCTCAAAATTTCCACGAGTCCTCTCCTTTCTTAAACAACATTCTGCTATACCCCAGTAATAATAACACTCATGTTGCCTGAAACAAAAACATAAGTTTGTTCCGTGCAGCTATCTTCACGTGGATCACTACAAGATCTAGAGTTATAAAGACCACTAATAAGATTATTGAGTCTTAATTGATAAAAAATGGAATATGTACTGAGTCTATCTAGGGTAAATCAGACCACCTAAGCCAATGTATGGTGGAAAACACCATTCCCTCGAGTCCATTTACTCCAGAAGTCCAATCAAATGGTCTAGTTCTAGGCTAGTATTTTATTAGTTCAATCTAAGTTGTCAGTTTCAATAATGGTACAACTTATGAGACAATAATGATAAATTACTAAGCTGATAAGGGATAAAATCAATCAAATGTAGTTTAGGATAGACTTGAATAATTTGAATGCGAACAATGATGATCTAGGGGGACCTTAGGCTCACTAAGGTTATAAGAGACTAAAGTGTAGCCAGGGTTTTACTTGTTCAGTAAATTAAGATATATTAGTACGACGAAACTATAACTTAGTCAACCTCTTGGCCAATAAATAAATAAATAAAATAAAATAGTGTTTAATACTCTTTTTTATTGAGACATATGCATGTCATGCATTTTTTTATTTAGATAGCTCTTTCTTGTTCACAATATAATATATCTTATTTTTAACCCTAAACTATTATTACCCAACAAAATACTTATATAATTGACATATATTTTATTTATGGTCTACCATAAATAAAAATAGCGACATTTACATACATAACACATAATTTTCATTTCCAACAATTTAAATTTTACATTTCATGATTTTATCATAAAATCTTTCATATCACATCAAGATTATCACTATTTTAACTTTTAAGAATACAAAATGTACATGTCCATCCACAAGTAACCTGACATACACATAAAAATTCGATCTTTAGGTGTTAAATATGTAAATATATATATATATATATATAGATATATAGACATGTGATCTGTGTCAGAGAGTAGGTAATATTTCAAAATAAAATGAAATGCCTCTAAATTTTAATTTGGAAGTTGAAATTTTATATATATATATAATGATAATGAGGCCACAGCGAAGCTGATTGCCGCAAATTTCTGACATCTTCCACTTTCAAAGGGAATGACTTTTCTCCTTTTCAAACTCGGTGCCATAAAATTGAGCCCTAATTAACCAAAGTTTAAATCTTTTAATTATAATTAAATCATTATAAACTTTAATTACATAATCATTAACTACCTTTCTAATTAGCAGAAATTTCACTATTAAATTAAATATTAAATATAATGAAGAAAAATTAATGATATACCAATTGTTGGATGTGTTTGACCTGACTCATTGGTGCGGCCTCTGACGTAAGTCCCTCGGGTTAGGAGTTCGAATCCGGTGGTGCAAACTCTTCGAATAATGAGCAAACACACCAGGATTTTCATCGTTTTGGGGGATTGTTTTCAACTTTTTTTAATATATATATAATATAGATATCAATATCATTTATTAGAATTATGTGATATATATATATATATATATA